AAAGAAGTCCAATTATTATTTACAGACAACATAATCTCCCACATAGAAGACTCCCCAAACAACCAAAAGACTGCTAGAACTAATAATCAAATTCAGCAGCATAACAGGATGCAAAGTCAACACTGAAAAATTAATAGTGTTCCTGTACAGTAATAATAAACTCACTAACTCACTAACAGAGATATTAGGGAAACAATATCTTTCACAATAGCATCAAGAAAAAGAAAATACCAAGGAATTAACCTAACCAAGGAAGTGAAAGACCTCAACTATGAAAACTACAGTACTCTGTAAAAGGAGATCAAAGAGGATATCAGAAAATGGAAAGATATCCCAACCCTGGGCAGGCAAAACCAATATAGTCAAAATGGCCATACTCCCAAAACTGTTACATAGATTTAACGCAGTCCCAAACACAATACCAATAGCTTTTCTCTGAGAACTAGAGAAAGCATTCCTAAAATTCATATGGAAGCAGAAGAGACCCAGAATAGCAAAAGCAATTCTGATCAACAAGGGCAAGGCAGGGGGCATCACAATCCCAAACTTCAAGTTATACTACACAGAAGTACAATGATGAAAGCAGCATAGCATTGGCAAAACAAACAAATACACTTGTGGATCAACAAAACAGAATAGAGGATGCAGAAACAACTCCAGGCACATTCAGCTACCTTATCTTTGATAAAAGTGCTAAAATAAAAAAAAATTTTTTTAAAGTGCTAAAATCATACACCCTAGGAAAAATAACCTCTTTAACAAATGATGCTGGGAAAACTGGCTTTCCACATGCCGAAGGTTAAACCTAGACCCGTATCTCTCACCATGCACTAAACTAAAATCATACTGTAGCAAAGATTTAAATATTAAAATAGAAACAATCTGCTAGAAGACAAAATAAAATAGGTAAAAACTCTTGAAGATACAGGCAAACCCAAAGACTTTATGAACAGAACTTGTGTCACAAGAAATAATACCAAAAATCAACAAACAGGATCGTATCAAATTAAAAAGTTTCCAGGCTGGGGATTTAACTCTGGTTCCACCGCCTGCCTCACAACTACAAGAACCTGAGTTCAATTCCTGGTACCAAAAAAAAAAAGTTTCTGCAAAGCAAAGGAAGCTATCAACAGAGTGAAGAAACAACCTGCAGAATGGGGAAAAATATTTTCCAGCTACTTTTCAGACAAAGGACTAATAGCTATAACAGTGATGGTGAAACCTTTTAGAGCTTACAATGATATAAACAGCCTGCTGTGGCAGGTTTGCCACCACTGATCTAGAATATATTCAAAAAATTAGACTTCCCCAAATTTAAAGACTCAATCAAAAAAAGGTCATCTGGGGCCGAGGATTTAGCTCAGTAGTTCCAGCACCTGCCTCTCAATCCCCAATACCAAAACAAAAAAAAAAAAGGTCATCTGAAATAAACATTTACCAGATGAAGAAGTACAAATGGCCAATAAATACATTAAAAAATGTTCCACATTGCTGGCCTTTTGAGAAATGCAAATTAAAACAGCACTGAGTTTCTATCTCACTCCAGGAAGAATGGCTATCTTCAAGAAATCAATGAATAACAAATCCTGGCAAGGTTGGGGTCCAGAAATGATGGGATTCTTCTATATTGTTTGTGGAAATTAAACTGGAAATCAGTATGGAGATTCCTCAAAAAACTAAAACTAGAAACTTCATTTGAACACTATGGTTCAAATGTGTCCCCAAAATTAATGTGTTGGGAGCTGGATCCCCAATGCCAATGAGCAGAGAGGCAGAGCAGTTAAGAGGACATTAGGTCACTAAGAAGGATTGATTCCCTTTTCAAAAGAGCAGTTAATTCTTAGGGGACTGGATTAGTTACTGTATGAGTAATATCTATCACCAAACTACATATCCTAAACACTCTACATTAAATACCATACGCACTGAAGCAAAGGAAAGCTACAGGTATAGATAGGTCAGTGGCAAGAGTGTATGCTTAGTGTGTGCAAGGCCTTGGGTTCAATCCCCAGAACTAAACCAACAAAAACAAAAGAAGCCTTAACCTGACTGCATAACATATACAAAATATAAAAAATTAAATTCTAAGAAGATTGTCAATAAAATAATAAAGCTTCTAGAAGACAGTATGTGAAAATAGCTTTCTGACCATGGGATAAGCTATGATTTCTTACAGATCACAATTACACCCACCATAAAGAAGAGTCAAACTATACTTATTAAAATCACGAATTGTTATCAAAGTACACCATTAAGAATATAACAGGCTGGGCTTGATGGCATAGGCCTGTAATCCCAGTTACTCAGAAAGCTGAGGCAGTATGATTGCTTGCAAGTTTGAAGACAACCCTGGCAACTGGGCAAGACCCTGTCTCAGAATAAGAAACAACAGGGCTTCGGGCGTAGCTCAGTGTGGAAAGCCCTAGTTTTGATCCCCAGCGTGGGGGTGACCAATGAAACATGAGAAAGACCAAGCACGTTGCCCATGCCTGCAACCCCAGCACTCAGGTGGGTGAGGTGGATGGTCCTGAGCTTGAGGTAGGACAGCCTAGGCTGTGTTGAGTTTAAAGCCAGCATGAGCTGCACAGTGAGATCATGTCTTAAAGACAAGCAAACAAACAGCAACAGCAGCAAGAGTATGAAAAGGTAAGCGATTCCTGGCAGTAATTATCATTGCTTAATAACACATTTAAGGTAACAAATTATTTCCGATATTGAGAGACCCAAGTTAAAGCCTGAAAGATCTACTGTTGTGTAATACATGTACAATTACACTAAGTAACCAAGAAACTTTGTCAAAACAAAGCCAGATTTTCTTCAAAACATAGTTTAGCAAGAAAATTCCTCAGAAAGGCTCATTAGGCAGAAACATGGTGAGCAGACCACTGCTAGTTTTCTTTCTAAACATTCAATGAATTTATTGAGGCATTTTACATGACAAAACCTTGGGGCAATATAATGGGACAGTCTAGAGAGGGCCACTGGCTATAGTTCTCCAAGTCCTGCTGCACTTACACACAGCAAGGTTCAATAAAGGAGAGGTGGCTGCAACAAGTAACTGGGGTCCAGATGTTCCACTGGTAGCTTAAAATACAGGATAAGACTTGCTGTGAGAGGAGAGGCAGATACAGGTGTGGGGCTGTAGGCACAGTCTGGATGGTGATCCAACGCATTCTCACCCAATGGAAGTGTCCCAAGAATGGAGGCTAAGAGCCAACAAGAACGGGCAGGATGAATGAAAAGAATGAAGGGAGAACGATTCAAACTACAGCTGAGCAAGAAGTAAAGATAAATACTTGTATAAGAAGAAAAACTAAGGAAATGGAGAGCCTGGATAGCAGATTGTCTTGGATGTCAAAGTGGGAGCAAGTTCCCCAAAATAACAAAGAAAGTACACAACTACAGAGACAACAGCAGCTGAGAATGGCAAAAGAAGTACCTTAACAACTCTGCAAGAACAGCAGGCAGAAATGGAATACACACACTCCTGATTCAAAGCAGACACTCATACTGATGTTCAGGTTACCGTGAGGACCACATCAGGGATAACTACTTATTAATCATTTCCCGTGTACCAGGTATTATGCTGAGCATTTATTAATGCTAACTCACAGCAATTTCTAAACTTATCCCAAAAGCCAAGTTAGGCAGACATGAAGCGTGCCTGACAGTGTCTGATTAAGGAAGCTTAAGCTAACCTACTGTACTCTCTATCTGAAAGAAAGATTATGCTAACAGTCACTGAACAGTCCTGACTGATAGATAAAATGAACTGCAGAGTGAGGGAAAAGTGTAGCCTTCTCCAGTACTGTCTAGGCAGGAAGATAAGGAAGGCAGGGCCAAGAATTTGAGAAACTTCGACAGCTGAAAAGGATGCATCATTCTGTATTTTAACAGCACTACCATTAATAAAATCCAACTGCCCTAGCACTAATTCCATGCCCAAATAAATTTGTGATTGTAAACGGCTTCTGGTGGTGTCTCGTTTAGTCTCTCATGAATCACTTTTCTAAGCCCAATCATTTCTGAGTGTGCTAACAAACCATACTTTTAATCATATAAATCACCATAATGTAAACTGTATATCCATACAATGATACTGGGAACTTCTAGGATTCAGTCTGGAGCAGAAAGCTGGTCTCCTCTATCTACTACCATGACAGTGTTAACAAATAATCAGCTGAGGCTGTGAGTCTGTCACCTTCTGGCCCCATAGCCAAGCATCTCTCTGGGTACCCTCATGCTGCACCAAGTGGATCCCTATGTTGCTAAAGCAGCCACCTGAAAGCCAGTATTTTTCCTATTACCGAAGAGGATGTGCATTAATCGTCTACAGACCTTAAACAACTTTCTGCCTGAGGCCTACTTGGAAAAAGATTGAACATGGCTCTATGTATACAGAAACAGCTGGCTTAACATAAGTACAAAGAACTCCTAGGAAGAACCACCTTAGAAAATGTTTTAGCACAGTAGAACTAGTAAAGAATGAATTGATCTTGCTCAAGACAGGGGTGAGGTAAAAGTACCAGTATTCTCAGCTCCAGAAGGTATAGGGCCAAAGAACACACAGGGAGAAGACTGAGACTCCCAGTGGCCCTCTCTGTGGCTGCCAGGGAGGTCAGCTTCCCTCTTCTATAATCAAGGAAACGGCATCAGACAATCGCAAGGTCCCTTTCAACTCTAATCATCCCACCACTGGCTCCTTCAGGGATCAATGGAAAAGGTACAGAAGCAAATTTATCAAGGAAACCAGGACTAGGGATTTAGCTCAGTGGTTTCACCGCCTGCTGTGCAAGCACAAGGACCTGAGTTCGATCCCCGGTACCAAAAAAAAAAAAAAACCATATTGTTCAAACAATATGGTACATTTCTTCACAAACAGAATCTATTTTATCTCATTACAATAAAACCTGATCCAGCCAAATAAAAACATTAGAACAGACAAGGGAAAGAAATCAATATCTGCTACAGCAGTACAAAACTCCAAAGGGAAGGCTTACGTGTGTCTTTCATATCTGAGCGTTTCCCGGACGGACCATGCAACCTGGTATGGGGAGGCCTGCTCAGAGTCTTCCAGCTCCTCTCCACTCTCTTCAGACCAGTCCAACCCTGGAGCAAACAGGGAATATTGCCAAGTTAGAAAAAATCCACTTTTCTTTAAAATGTAGGTAAAAAAGGTATCTGAAATACATAAGCCAACACCTACTCCAACTATTATCATAGTGTGAATAAATGCCTCCTGACAAATCTAATTTCTATTACAAAGATATTTCAAACTCAGGTTTGAAAATATGGCATTATACCAAAAAGGCCCTACTATAAATTCTAAGGATAAACTTCTGTCAGACACTTCACTAATGGAGTAAAAACAACACAAGCAAAAAGAAGGTTCAGGGGAATAAAAGGTAAAATTTTTCCAAGTATTAAATTATCACACAACAAAACAATGTCAGAAAAATACACTCAAGAAAGTGCAAGAAGGCTGGGTGTGGTGGTACACTCCTATAATCCCACTCTGGGAGGCTGAGGCTGGAGGATGGCAGGTTCTATCCCAGCCTGGGCAACTCAGCAACTTAGTAAGACCCTGTCTCAAAATAAAAAGGAGGGAGGGATGTGGCTCAGTGTGAAGGTCCTGGGTTTAATCTCCAGTAATGAAGAAATTTTTAAAAAGAAAAAAATTGATGAGAAAATAAGTCTAACATATGTTCAGGCAAAAAAAAAAAAAAGGCCAAAAGGTACCACTGGCATCACTTATACTCTAAAGAAGGGTCCTGGGGTAGCTTTGCAAAGGCAGATGCCCCCCAAAGGGCCCCACTGATTAGACAGGGCCACTCCCAAATGAGCAGGGCAGGCGGGAACACCCATGGCATCCTACTGTAAGGGTTCAGGATCCCTCTGCCCTTCCTCTCTCCTTCCCTCACTCCTTCTTCCATTTTTACAGCACAGGAGTTGAACCCAGGACCTCATGCGCGCTCAGCAAGGGCTCTACCACTGAGCTATACTCCTAACACCCCTGCACACACCACTTCTGCTGTGCTGGGGTCGAACTCCGGGGTCTTTGCACTGAGCTATATAGCCCCAGTCCTTTTATATTTTGAAGACAGAATCTCATTAAAATCTCGCTAAATTGGGCTCAAACTTGGTTTTTTTCCCCTTTTTTTGTTGTAATTTTTGGGCTCCAAATTCTGATCCTCCTGCTTCAGCCTCCCAGAGTGCTGGATTATAGGCATGCATCACCACACCCAGCTTCCCCACTTGGTTATTTTGAGACAGGGTTTCACTATGTAGTCCAGGTTGGCCTTGAACTCACATTGGTCCTCCTGCTTCAGCCTCCCCAAGTGTTGGGATTACAGGCATCCATCACCATACCTAGCTCCCCAGCCCTTTTTTTTTTTGGTACCGGGGATTGAACTCGGGTCCTTGCGCTTGTGCAGCAGGCAGCGAAACCACTGAGCTAAATCCCCGGCCCTCCAGCCATTTTTTAAAAAAAAAACTTTATGAGACAGTCTCACTAAATTGATCAGGTTGGCCTCAAACTTGTGATCTTCCTGCCTCAGCCTTCAGAGTATCTTGGATTACAGATCACTGCTCTGGAATTTCTTTCAGTTCTCTGGAACAAAAGCTGCCACATTTTGTGCTCTATTTTATAAAAGAAGTTTAGAGGGGAAAGTGTAGAAATACAGTATGAACAATGCTTACTTATTTTGTTATGTGCTATGATTTTTAATGACAGGATAATTATTAGCTTCCTGTATAAAGGTTTTCTCCTTTTAAAATGTATATCCTGAAGAGGTATTGATAAATAGATATTGCACAGCCTAAAGTATAACACAGAGGTCACACAGCTTTAATATACTCAAACCACTGTGAAACTTACTAGGTATCTTGATAATTGGCAGAGTATTTTATATCTTCCTTCTGTGAACCTCAAAAGTCAATGGACCAGGGCCAGGGATTTAGCTCAGTGGTTTTGCCGCCTGCTGCCCAAGCACAAGGACCCGAGTTCAATCCCCAGTACCTCATATGGTCACAGGTGGGGCTTTTCAGAGGTGGCTGGTTCTACAGTGTGTAAAGCTGGTATTAAGGGTGCACGATTACTAAGTCCACTGACTGGTTTGGTATAGTTCTGGGTGTGGATAATGGGAAAGCCCACCCTCAATGTGTGTGGCATCACTCAAACGGCAGGTAGCCTGAAAGGGATAAAAGGGAGAGGCAGGCTGCTGCTGGCTGCCTTCTGCCTGCCCTGCCCTGCCATGGACTATTTCTCCTCTGCCATGCCACCCTGCCTTGGAGCCAGCCGACAATGGACTGAAACTTCTATAAACTGTGAGATGAAATAAACCTTTTCTCTTTTAACTTTGGGTGTTGGGTATTTTCGTCTCAGCAATACTTACTTAGAAAAGTAACTAAGACACACATTAAATAGTGTTTTAAAAATGGACCTAAAAGACTTCTTCCATGTTTTAAATGAGTTTACATTTGCCAAACAGAGAAATCAAGAAAAGGTAAATTGAAAAGCAAATTATAAATGCTTAAAATTAAATTACATTGGCCCACTGGCATAATGAAACTTCAAACCTAGTTCAAGATGACCTTTTAGGATTTCAGGTCACCTTAAAAAGTGAGGACTTTCTTTCAACTACAGTAATTAATAATTTGTAGGCGGGATAAAGAAACACTTAATGCGTGCACAGCAGCAGTGACTTCAATATACTAAAAGGTGAGGTCCAGGCGCTCCAGGGCCAATTGGTCAGTCCTTAAGAACCTTCACAGTGCCCCTTAAAGAATCCTTAGAACCAGAAGATGAGTGTTCTTTCTCTGCTGCAGAAGTAAGGGTAGGGCCAGGGATTTAGCTCAGTGGTGCCACCACCTGCCTCGAAAGCGCAAGGTCCCAAGTTCGATCCCCAGTAACGCCCCCCCTCAAAAAAGATCAGAAGAGTAATTTTTATCATGATACCTATACTTTCTCTGCAGAAGTCAGGATCTGAGTTGGAAGTGTGTGCTGGCATGAAACTACCCAATAAAGTGAACCTTTGATCTTGGCTTCATTATCAGCGGTTTTAATGTAGTAACTGATATAGCTGGCCCAGGTAGGACTGTGAAAGCTGATTATAGGACTAAATTTTTCTAAGCACTCTTTGCTGACATGAATATAGACTGTGCTTGGTCTGAAGAGTACATGACAATTTCTGATTTCTCCAGAAGAACCCTTGTTTTGACATCTTAGGTCTCTAGTATGTTTAGATTTAAAAGATAAGACCGAATGCTTTTTCTGCAAGCTTTCAAAAATCAGCCCCCAACACAATAAAAATTTCATAATCCCAAAAGCTTAAAAATTGTTATAATATCTCACAGAAATTTAAACAAAGCCAAGAGTGGTGGCCATGCCTGTAATCCCAGTACTTGGGAGGCTGAGGCAGGAGGATTGCCACAAATTCAAGGGCGCATGGGCTACATAGTGAGACCCTGTTTCAAAAAAAAATTTAAAACAAAATTATCACATCCACAAATAAACACAATTATGCATTTTTTAAAAGTTACAGGTCCAGGGCCAGGGATTTAGCTCAGTGGTTCCGCTGCCTGCCTAGCAAGCCCAAGATCCCAAGTTTGATCCGCAGTGGCAAAAAAAAAAAGTTACAGGTCCATAAGTGTTAGAATTTGGGGCAAACATTTGAAAAACATAAAATTACATCTCTGCCTCAAAACACCTATCCAGATATGGTGGCACATGTGTAATCCCAGCACTCACAGAGGTGAGGTAAGAAGGTCTCAAATTTAAGGCCAGCCTGGGCTACACAGAGAATTCAAGGTTAGCCTGGGCTACATAGTGGGAAACTGTCTCAGAAACAAAGCAAAATAACAACAAAACCAAGAACAAGAACTGACGCTTAAAAGTTTCGGGTAGATGTTTCAAACATAAATAAAAAAATCAAGCCTTGACTCAAAAGTGAAATCTTGGGGCCAGGGATTTAGCTCAGTGGTTTCAGCCCCTGCTGCGCAAAAACTAGGATCCGAGTTCGATCCCCGGCACCAAAAAAAAAAAAAAGTGAAATCTTCACTCCTGTACTGTAGCCCTACTGTGCCCCAGCACTCTTAAAAGGATGAGGCAGGACAATCAGGCCTAGTTTTAGGGATGTAGTAAAACCTTGTCTGAAAAAAATTTTAAAAGGCTGAGGATTGCCGGGTGTGGTGGCACATGCCTGTAATCCCAGGACACAGGAGGCTGACGCAGGAGGATTGCTACAAGTTCCAGGCCACCACAGACTCCATAGTGAGTACAAGGACAGCCTGAGCTACATAGCAAGACTCCGTCTCAAAAAAATGGGGCTGGGGATTCAGCTCAGTGGTTCTGCCACCTGCCTCGCAAGCGCAAGGACTCGAGTTCGATCCTCAGTACCAAAAAAAAAAAAAAGGCTGAGGATGCAGCTCACTGTAAAGACCCGGGGTTCAACACCTAGTAAAGGGGACACTTAAAAAAACTAAGTTGTAAATTGTAAAATGATAATACATATTTGAAAGTAAATGAGAGGGAGGAGAGGCTTTATAACAAATATGAAACATGTATAAAAAGCTTTTACCAATTAATGAACACTTTAATAAAAATGGATGAAAGAAAAGGAAAAATAAATATAGTATCTAAAAAGGATATGAGCAAATAAATATCCAACTATATTACTAACCTGGACTAGTACATCTCAAATATGGTCCACAGATCATCAGGGGTCCCCAAAATCTCTCAGGGGGTTCCTTAGGTCAACATTATTTTCAAAATAATACTAAAATATCATTTGCTTTTTTGTGTTGATATTATGCTGAAGGTATAAAAGTGATGGTGGGGCACACCTGTAATCACAGCACTTGGGAGGCTGAGGCAGGACGATCACTGAGTTCTAGGCCAGCCTAGACTACTGTACACAGTGAGTTTGAGGCCAGCCTGCACTACACAGAGAATCTGTCTCAAAGTCCCCCCCCCCCAAAAAAGCAATGGTGGTAACTGCCAGCTCTTTAACATGAATCGAAGCAGTGGTACTAAACTCTACTAGTCATCATATTCTTCACACTAGGACCCACACTGTTTAAAAATACGTTTTTGTTTGAGCCAGGTGTGGAGCCACAGGCCTGCAGTTCCAGCACTTGGAAGGCTGAGGCAAGAGGATCATGCAAATTCAAGGGCAGCCTAGGGTACACAGTGAGACCCCAATTTTTTTTTTTTTTTTTTGCTGGGGATTGAACTCGGGTCCTTGCACTTGCGCAGCAGGCAGTGAAACCACTGAGCTAAATCCTGGGCCGAGACCCCAATTTTTAAAGTGTTATTTAAGGACATTCTTTGCATGCCTGTAATCCCAGCACTCAGGAGGATCACTTCCAGTTCAAGGACAGCCTGGACTATATAGTGAGTTCAAGGTCAGCCTGAACTACATAATGAAGACCCTGTCTCAAAAAAAAAAGAATACTCTTGTTTATTAAAGATCATTTACATTAGCCAGCATGGAGGTGCAGGGCTTCATTCCCAGCACTCTGGGAAGCTGAGCCAAAAGGGCAGCAAATTTGAGCCCAGCCCAGTAACTTAATGAGACCCTGACTCAAAATAAAAAATAAAAAAGGGCTGGGATTTAGCTGGGTGTGAAGGCTCTGGGTGCAGTCCCCAGCAAATGCATGCAAGCATGCGCTTACTCTAGGAGCCCCTGGCCCTCCAGCACGGGTCTTTCTCTCCTGCTGCAGAGAAAGCAGGACAGCTGTCTCAAGGGAAAGTTCACCCATGGCTGTTTCCCTGCAACCTCAATGAGCTACTTCTGTTTTCTTCAGCACCATTTTTATCTGAAAGAATATCTGATGGACAAACTATGGCTCTTAGGACACTGAAACTACCCCTGAAGGGGCATGTGCTATTCCCAATGATAAAAACAGAGTTTTCACGCAAAGGCTTGGTTTTCAGAAAACTTCAGCTACTTCCGAGAACTTGGTAACAACCCAATAGTCAGGACTTTTCTGATGACACTGGTGGGAACAAAGGTGAGTTTTAAATTTTGTATAATGAAGTAGGCAATTACTTGTATTTTCCAAGTGACCGACACAGGAAATAACACACAAGTAAAGCGATCCACCCAAAATACAAGGCAGACTAAAGGACTTTAAAGTAGTAGTGTGAAAATCCCTTGATATCCTTTCAGATCCCACAATATGACTGATTAATCTCTGAGGAACTTCCAGTGATAGCCAGGCATGGTGGCCACGTCCCACTACTCCTAAGGCTGAGGCAGGAGGATTCAAAGACCTAGGCTGGCCTGGCCAATCAGTGAGACATTCTTTCAAAATAAAAAGGGCTTAGGAGGTAGTTCAGTGGTAGAATGTTGCTGTGCATGCCCCAGACCCCTGAGGTCAATTCCCAGTACTACAGGGGCAGGGAGGGGTGGACAGGGCTACAAGGAACAGAGGTTGGGAAACGATATAAAGCAATGCGAAGCTACTGTTTCTTGTATTTTGTTTTCTTTTGGAAAACATAGCTATTTTTCTTTTCTTTTTCTGTTGTTTTTTGACAAAACAAAAGGTCTCCCTGTGAAGGTTCAGGCTGGCCTTGAACTCACTATGTAGTCCAGGCTGGGCTCAAACTTGCAGTGATCCTCCTGCCTCGGCCTCTCCAGTGCTGGGCTAACAGGTGTGTGCCCCACACCTGGCAACATAGCTATTTTTCATAAAAAGAACATGTTAACATATAGGGAGTTTATTATACAGTCCTTTCTGAATGAATATTCTTAGTTTTCAGCTTCAATTTCTAATACAATAAATATCAATAGATATAACACACAAAACACTGTGTCCTCAATATTTATTTTTTTTTAAGCAACAAGGTCTAACTATGTAGTTCAGGTTGGCCTTAACATGTAGCTCAAACTGCACTTGAATTTGTAGCAAGTCTCCTGCCTCAGCCTGCCAAGTGCAGGGATTGCAGGCATGTAATCCTGTCCTCGACAATTTTTTTTTTTGGTACTAGGGATCGATCTTAGGACCTTGCACTTGTCAGGCAGGCGCCACAACCACTGAGCTAAATCCTCGGCTGTACTCAACAATTTTTAAGTGCGAAAAAGTCCAAAGCCAAAAATTCGATAAACAGTGATCTAAAATATGTGAATTAAATAAGAATTCCGGTTAAATTTACAAAGGGAAGAATAATAATTCCCAGTCCTAATAAAGATGCAGAGAAACCATCATTCACATATGCTACTGAAAGAAGGAAAAACTGACAAAAATAACTCAAGAAAATTTTGGAAACATATATCAAGAAAGGGAGAGGGGACCAGGGACTTAGCTCAGTGGCACCATGCTTGCCTGGCAAGCACAAGGTCCTGAGTTTGACCCCTGGTACCAAAAAGCGGGG